TATGACCCTTAGCCATATATTGTTTAGCCATACCACTTTAAGTCCAAATGACTTTAAAAGGGGCACTGAACTTTCTAAAATTGTTTAGACATGATTAGGCTTGTTTCCCTGGGGTATGACCCCATAGGCAATAAGTGTCACATTGAAGGGATTAAAGTACTTTTTGACACTCAACTTCTATCTCAATATGTCTAGCAATTTCAGAAAAAGTATTAATATTTTCACTATAAACTATCAAGAGTTTAAAATTTTTCCAACATTCAAATTCATCTTAAAGTCATGAACCATAGCACTCATGACACGTAAGTATTCAGGTATACTGTGTTTGGATCCATTTCATATTTCATCCACTTTAAATCCAAGACATGGAGGTTTGTAGCGGATGTCTGGCCATAAGTGGCCTTAAGCTTGTCCCATATATCCTTATCCGTGGAACAACTCTCAAACTCTCCAATGAGTTTGTTATGCATGCAATAAAACATAGTATAGTGTGCAGAATGATCCTTTTTAGACCATTCCTCGCATGCAACTAGATCCTCGCTGTACCGGTTACTATCGATATTTTTTATCTCAGGTACAGTAGTAGTCAAAGTTTCCAAAACTTTACGGTCATTAAGAATATACTAAATCATCCTATGCCATATATCATAATTTGTCACATCCAACTTTTCATTTGTGGACAAATCAGTAATCATGTTCTTGATTGCCATTTCTAAAAATATATTAAAAAAATAGATATTAGACACAATTTTTTATAATTAAATTATCAAAATTTCATTGTTTATATCACATGTCCGAAAATTTCGTTAGGTTCATAATCATCACATATGATACAAATTAAAAATATTATAATTTAATTATCGTAATAAGAAATATTAAATTAGATGGAACATATCTATGTAATTCTTTAATTTTGTCAAACTAATTAGCATAAAAAAATATTACATAAATATATATAATTATCTCAATTTAATAAAAAATACGTAACTAACTAATGAAGATAAATTAATTAACATGTATTAGGATAGTGATGATGAAACAACGTAACAAAAACACTAATAAGTCTGTCTAAATAACAAAATAATATACAAATATGAAATATTATTAAAATATACATACTTACAACTAATTAATATGCTTAAATATTATATGTATTTCATATCTCAGTTAATTAATAAACTTATTTAAGAAATGGGAGGTGTTGAGTTCAATTCTCAATTTCTAACATTTAATTTTTTTTTTAGAAAAACAAAATTGGTGGCATCATCATCATCATCATCATGAATAGAAAAGAATAAACAAAATAATAATAAAATAGAGGGTTCTTGTTTTTTGGTTATGCATATATATATATATATATATATTTTCAATCTCCTCTTCCCCCCTCTTTTTTTTTTCTTCTCTTTCACGCACACGCAGTGCTCTTGTTTTTTTCTTTTGGCGCACACAGTGCATCATCCTCCTCCTAATTAATTTTTTTTTTTTAGTTTTCTATTATATATATATATAAGTACATATATATCTTCAACATTTTTCTTTCTCTCCCAATTTTTTCTTCCTTCATGCATACACTGTATGCACACACAGTGTTTTTCTTTTTTTTTTTTTTTTTCAAACTCCACACAGTGAATCATCCTCTTTCCTGTTTTTTTCAAGCACACAGTGCTTTCACCCCTGGCTAAAACTCTTAATTTTTTTCTTTTTAAACGCCTCTGCGGGAGAAAACCAAAATATTCAGTTTTTATTATCCGCAATCACAATCACTATAAATGCTTATATTCAGTCATCTCAACAGGAGAAAAATTAGTGGAAGTTCATGTCGTATTTTTGTTTTCAGATTCTTAGAAAATAAAAAATATACATAAAAAATAGTATATTTTTTGGATTCATTATTAAAAAAAAATCAACAATTTTAATGCAGATTGTAGCACGATTATTAGATGCAAGCAATTAAGTTCTTATAACACAGTTAAAAAATTAAAAATAACTTTAATGTGAAAGCTGTAACAGCTCCGAAATTTAAATAAAGATATATGTATTAAAAATCTTAAATGCGGAAGCGTAATAAAAATTTTGATTAACATCTCTTGCACAATAATAAAAAACGTACTCAAAATATAAAAAAATAAGCTAATTAAAAAAGATATTCGAAATAAAAACTATAAATAGAACTATAAAGTCTTTAGGCGTCTAACTCGCCGTCTTCCTGCGAAACGGGTTCGGGAATCCCGTCTTCCTGATCTGAAATGATTAAGTAAGGAATGAGTTACATTAACCCAGTAATTGAATAAGATATTTATTTTTCTATTTGGTGAGAATAATTGTTGATATATATATATATATATATATTTTAATGATACTAGAGTTTTAAATAATTTGAATATTCTAAAATTTAAATTTACTTATGGTTTAACTTAAACGTGAGAGAAAAAATGGTAATATCTTTTTTTTTAAATGTTATATAATTTTTTTAAATGTACATACATAATTTTTTTCTCTCTTATATACTCAGCAAGTGTCATATCATTTTACAAGAAATGTTTTTACCTTATAAACTTATGAAAGATCATGTCTTTTTACAATGCGTGTTGTGAACATTTCTAATTTTATATCACAGATGAGAATCTCAAATAATGTATAATAATTTACTTTCTATCTCAGTTCTAAATTCTGAATTTGGGCTTAATTAGTTTTCTTTTTTCTATCTTTTGACTCTTTTAATTTTCTTAAAAATAGTCATTTAATTATTTTGGTTGGTTAAAACGTGGTTCATCAAATATTTACTTCTCTTTCTTTTTGCAAGGAAGACGCCCTCTCTTTTGGTTTGTTTGCAAAGGAGTTGTTATTCTCATAAAAGAAAAGAAAAGAAAAGAAAAGAAAAATTGGCAAAGAGCTAATGATACACTTCTTAATTAAAATTTCAATAAAACAGATAGTCTTTGTATTCAAATATCAACTAAATACTAACATTAATTGTTACATTCCTTGACCAAATTAAAGCAACCTAACACGTTTTTTTTTTTTTTGTTCAATCAAAAAGTAACTAAGTCAGAATTTTTAATTCAAAATATTCATCTCGTCCGTAAACGTAATTGCCTTCTTAAAAATTAACTACATTTAACCATCACATATTCATTAATATATTTATTAATTACACAAAAATAAATATTATAAGTTAGTCACCACTATTTTATAATAGATAATTAAAATAAAAAATAAAAAAACAAATATACTTTCAAATAAAATATAAGAATCTCAACCATCATACTACCATATTAATAGTATAACAGTTTTTATATTTAACTATCATTCATATTTTCTTAAAATAAAATTTAATAATTAATTTCAATACAACTAAACAAACATCAGTATATAAACTCTTGGATTGAAATTGAATTAAAATGAATTGCTCCTCATCTAAACAGCAAATAACAACGAATAAGAATGAATAAAAACTTTTTCCTCACATTTTCCTAACAATGAATAAGAACCTTTTATGACAGAATAAAATCTAATTCAAGCGTTACACTTAAATTTCAAATTCATGTCTCCGATGAGCCACTCTGCTATATAAGAATATGTTTTTTGTGTTGAATGAACTCCGTCAAAGCTTACATATACGTCGGGATTTGAACAGACTGGTACGAAAGGTAATCCACATATTTGCAAAAAATTAAAATTATAATCACCTCCGCTGCCACAACAAGACTTGTGTGTCACTGTTGGATCAAATCCTGATAAATAAAAAAAATATATCAATAATACTATAAACTCATAATAAATCTAATTACAAATATTCTTAAATTTTAGGATTAACTAGTTTAATCACTCACCCATAGAAGAAGCATTACGTAAAATCCGTTGATATGCATTGTAATAATCACCATACATTATAGTATTTTCATTTCCTAGCTCTTCAATGGCATGTTGAAGGAGCTGATTGTGATACGCTGCCAAATCATTTAACTCCTTTAAACAGTGCAAATCATCATAAGCAGTCTTATCATTTGTTTCAAATGATGTAAGATAAATCGGAACACAACCAATTGGAAAATTTCCCGAAACAACAATACGAGTGGCACCATAACCAATCACTTTCTGCAACAAAAATTTTAAAAAGAAAGTTAAAAATAAATTTAATATTGTGACTATAAAAATGATGAACTTAACCTTAACAGCATCTTTTATAACTTGTACAACTTCAGGTACAATCGTCTTAACTTCATCTACACTGTGTCCTTCAAGCAATGCATAATTATAATCATTTCCACCAATTTCACCAACCATGAAGAGAGAATTACTAATTTTCTTCCCACAATCTGCAGCAACCCAAAACTTAAAACTTCGACTGAGGATTATTTATGATAATGATTTTATTTGAGACAACGATTAGCACGTATCAAACAGTTTTTAAGTTAAGATTGAAAAACTAACCCTTGTGTGTTTTCACATATTTGGCTGAAATGATTATCCATCCAGTCAACTTGTCTGTTTAAAGAACTCTTCGTAAATAGAGAAAATATCCATCTCTTTGCAAGAACTTTAGTAGGCAAGGCAGTAGCTCCAGCAACCGCAAAATTTACTCCATGGTCAAAAGTAGAACTCTTATCCAAGTATGGTTCGAGTAAAGGAAGTCCGGCAGATTGAGCTGTAATAAATAATATACAAATTAAAATAAATCAAGAAACTAATTCTGATCTTTAGTAGTATTCAACAAATTTTAATCTCGTCTTCATACAACAAGCAATGCCATACGTACAGAGAATATATATTGACCATATATCTGTGTTTCTATTAATATTATTGAGTAAATAAAACACTGAAAGTTTATCTTATATATAGAATTCATAAAAGAGGAGGAAGGTGCTGATATACTGATTTATTACCAATAAAATCAATCATTAGAAGTCCATTTGAACATCTACCAGTTCCTGGCTTGAAGAATGATTCACCGTATGGAAGTCGAGCAAACAGAGTGAGAAAATTTTCACGAATTAAATTACCCGTATCTGCTATAGAATCTCCGAGTTGATATATTGCTTCAAACTTACAATCTCGTAGAGTACGAGACTGTTCTGCGGATGCACTACTTGAAGCGAAGTATAGAACAAGTATGAGAAGTAGATAGGGAAAGAAGTTGACGGAAGCCATTCTTAATTGTGTGAATAATGATCAATGTATTTGCTCATGCGCGTGAATGAAATGGTTCTTCTTTTATAAGGGGTCAATGTAGGATTGTTAACTGGGAGTCAAATAATTTTCTGTATTTTTTTTTTTTTTTTTTTTATCTAAATCAGAAAAGGTAACGAAATAATTTAAAATAGTTTTAAATTTGTTTTTCTCAAACAATGCTCGTCTTATTTAAAAAAATTATAACAAGTTCTAGTTTTATTATTTCTTGATTAATATATAATTCAATCGTAATATATCTTAAAAAAAATAAAACTTTAAAATATTGAATTAAAAAACAAGCTATATTAATTTTGCAAAATATGCTGTGTTTCCAACCAATACAATTGATTTTAGCATTAATTAAATACTAATAAGTACGATTAAATTTGCAATACGTAGTTATATTGAAATTTCTGACTTTTTAATTCAGTGTAATTGATATTTTAAGTGTCGGTCTAAAATTTTTTTAATGACTAGCGCTATTTTCATGCACAGTCATAATGATCATCACTATGTTATAATTAATTTATTTTATTTATATAAAAGCACAAATTGTTGGTTACAAAAAAAAATTAAAAATAAACAGTTATGAAAAAAATTAAAATAAAATAATAATAACAATTAAATATAATAAATGAACGGTTACGAATAGAAAAATTAATAAATAATTTTCAATAATTATATATATATATCGTGTAATGTTGTGAATTACTACTGTTTTATTTTGATTGAATAAAAAAAATTTATATTTTTCTTTTCAATATATCTTTTAATTAAATAATTTGCACCAACAACAACATATAGTCTTTAGTTTATTTCCAGCACTCCATAAGTTCTTTTTTTTTCTCTAAATTATTGTTAGATTTTTTTTTTGTATAGTTACACAGGGTTCATAAACTTGAATCTCTATTAGAGATGAGTGTGGAACAAGTATAGTATAGGTACATTAATTTCCATACTTAATTATGTTAATAGAAATATAAATTCATACTGAGTTGTATATCCCAAGTGGGTAGAAAAACTTCTACCTACTCACCATCCATATATGGATAAAAATTTTTACCCATTAACTGCTCCATTTACCCCCCTCTTCTAATTTTTTTTAAAAAATTTATACGTATGCCTTCCGTGGTGGAATTGCATATAGGAGAGAGGAATCCAAGCATTTGTAATCTTACATCTGCTTTTTAGAAAAGAAAAAAAAAAAAAAAAGATGCAAGAGACAAAAAGAGGGAATTTCTTCTTATAGAAATTACGTAAAAAGAATTCCTAGCAATACCTTTTGATATACGATATTAATGCACTCAAGCAACCTGTCTTAAGTAATAATAATGAAGGACTGAACTTACGGTTGTCAAAATTACAGCTCGAAAGGTTAGTTTACCTTGAGAAAGAAAGAGTGGCTGGCTACTCTATTCTAATATTGGTAAAAAGACGAGTTGGCCTTTTCTTAATTGTTAGCGTTTGAGTTTGATTGCAGGACGTTTCATATAATGTATAAAGCTCCGTCAGCTCACTCAGCTACAGCGGAGGGTGCCGTGCCTACAAACCATACTAATTTTTAAATACTTTTAAAAATATACTAATTATATATATATCAGGATTGTGTATGGAACAAGTTTATCATTTGTTACCCACACCATCCCCATTTCCCGTTTATTATGTTTCATTCAAAGTACAAAATGCCCACGTAGTTGGATTATCTGTGACAACACAAGGTGATTTTGTATTTGTGTTTTGGATCTCATTGTAAATTGAATTCCCTTAACCTTTCCCACACTACGTGACTCTCCCATCACACAGCCAACGGTTTAATTTTTATTTCCACTAGAGATAATAGTTACATACATACATTTAAATAAAAACTGGGCAAACGGCCTGAAAATATTCTCCCGCCTCCGGGACTTGATCTCTGAAGTTCTCTATAAAACGCCGTTGCAAAAGTCAATACAACAAGAAGAAAAGTTAAAAAGGGCGCTCCAAACAAAAAAATTCTTCCCTTGACACAGTAGTTTCTGGTGATGATGTTCCCAGGTGGTGCAATTATATCTGAAGAGTAGCAGCTATAGAACCAGCAAGGGTAAGGACTTCAAATGGTGCTTTGTTTATCACCTGCTTCACCGTCAACGGACACGAGTCTGTAATCCAGAAGTAGGTGAATCCATTCTCAGGGTTCCCTGCATAAAATTAACAAAATCAGAAAGATATCGATGTACACATTACGAAATCATCCTCCCAAAGTGATTCAATCATTCTTGACTCGTAATCATTTGGAGAATTAGACAAAGCATCCCTGTAGAAATTGCAGGAACTAAATACAGATAGCAGAGGTCATCACCCAGATTCAGCAACTTCAAGACCAGGATTACACTCGTCTTTTGATAAATTCAATACTGATAAAAGAGTGTTTTATGGGAGATAGGTCAGCAATATCAAGAGGTCAAATATGATGCCAAATGAACAAGTAATCCATCAATAGACAACATCAATAGCACGAAATTGATAACATTTTACCTACGATCCTACATCTGATCAATGGACTTAAAAACTTCAAACCATTTAAGAAATATCATATTAAAAATGGTTCACATCAGTATCAACCACTTGTACCACACATGCTCCAGGAATAGTAGAACAACCTCCCACAAATTAGTTATCCTCCAGAACTAGAGGAAAAGGGGGAAGAGGAAAAAAGT